GTCGCGCTCTCCATCCAAACCCATATCCTCTGTCGGACAGAGGGAGAAAAAAAAACAAAAGAAGAGAGAAGTAGAAGCAGGAACGGTTAGTAAATTTGCAGTTAGTGGTGGAGCGGAGAGTAGAATAAGAAAGAAAGATTGGATAAGGACACTGGGACAGAGGACCCGGGACGGAGAGGGTGACGAGGGGAGGCACAGAGATGGAGACGAAGGAAGGGACAGAGGTCGAGAGGGAGATGGAGATGGAGACGGGGATGTAGAAGGAGACAGGGACAGAGGAGAAGGAAGGGACAGAGGTCGAGATGGATACGGAGACGGGGATAGAGACATAGGCAGAGACAGAGACGGAGGCAGAGGCGGAGATGGAGAGGGAGATGGAGATGGAGACCGGGACGAGAAGAGTTGAGGTACATTGGTTGTTGAGCAATGTAAACCCAAGAAAAAGTGCCAAGAGGACGTAGATTGATCACCACAGAATCTCGAGATGGCTTGCCCTCCTAACCAAGTCACCAGCCGGCAGACCATCGTTAGACAAACCAAGATTCCTCTTGCACAACCACGCCAAACAGACAAGTCAAGTTGATGAGAAAAATGTAGGAGGATTGGAGAAAAGATAAGGTAAGCGGGACGGAGAGATCAACGGAAAATAAAAGGATGGGGACCGGAAACGGGAATGAGAATGGAAAGAGCGACGGAAAAAGGAAACGAAAAATAATGGGAAGGGAGAAGCGAAAGAAGGGGAATGGGAAAGGAGAAAGGTGAACGAAAAGGATAAACGGGGTCAGCGGCAGAGGAAGATTATGAAAGGGAAAAGAGAAATAAAAGGGAGACGGATAATTATGGAAAGGGGGAGATGAAGGAAAGAGAAAAGGGAGTGAAAAGAGGGACAAAGGTAAAACGTGGGGGATAAGTATGGAAGAGATGGGGAAGGGGAACGCATAAATAGGGGATGGGGAAAGGTAGGGGAAGAGGAATTAATATATGAGGGAATGGAAAGGGGAAAAGTGATAAATAGGAAAAAGGGAAGAGCAATAAATAGGGAAAGGGGAAGGTGAAGGAAGGAGGAATAAATATGGAGGTAAATGGAAGGGGGAAAGGGAATAAATATGGAGGGAGGTGGAAGGGGGGAAAGGAAATAAATATGGAGGGGAATGGAAGGGGGAAGGGGAATAAATTTGGAAAGCGGAAGGTGAAGAAAAGAGGAATAAATATGGAGGGGAACTGAATAAGGACAGGGGATTAAATATGGAGGAGAATGGAAAGGGGGAAAGGGAATGAATATGGAGGGGAACTGAATAGGGGCAGGGAATAAATATGGAGGGGTATGGAAAGGGGGAAAGGGAACAAGTATAGAACGGAATGGAATGGAATGGGGAAGGGGAATTAATATGGAAAGGGGAAGGTGAAGGACGGGGAATAAATATGGAAAGGGGAAGGTGAAGGAAGGAGGAATAGATATGGAACGGAATCGAAAAGGAGAACGGGGATCAATAGGGGAAGGGAAAGGTTAGGGGAAGGTCAGGGGAAGGGAGAGGTCAGGGAAATAGAGATACATAGGGAAGGAGATAGTTAGGGAAAACGGATGAAATATGGAAAGCAATGGAAAAGGAAAGAGGGAAAGATTCGGAAAGTGTCTGGAAAGAAAAGGAGGATAATCCTGGAAGGGGAAAAGCGGAACGGGAAGGGGGAAGGCAGATGAACGTGGAAATGGGAGAGGGAAGGAGGGGTGGGGGACAAAATGGAAAGCGGGAGATGAGGAAAATGGAGTGGGAGATGGTTTGAGAGTGTGAGCGGAAAAGGGTTGTGAAGAGGAGAAGGGAGGTGACGGTCGTATTTAAGTGCGTGAGGATTCCTTTCGGTGGCATCTTACCTGGTGCTACAAAAAGCGGCTTGCATTGAAGAGTGCAGACGAGAGAATTAGACTTTGCATGCGTTCATCGCGGATGAGTTCATGCGGGAAAGGTGACAACGAATGAGGAAAGCTTAGACAGAGGATGTGATTGGATGTGGGAATAGCATTTGGTCTTCCAGGTTCCGATGACGGAACGAATGACGGAAGAACGGCATGTAGTAGTAATGTACAAGTACGAAGCGTGGCTGGAATTCAGCGAATCGGACATCGTGCGTGACAGAGATCATGTCTGAACCAGGAAGCACGACAATTGTCGCATGAGTGAGGCGTGTGTGAAGCGAGCGCATGCAAAAGAGGAATTTGCATTGCTTCTTGTCTGCAATGCAACTATGAAAGAACTGGATCTCGTTTTTATGTTAATTGAAATATTGTCTTGCCATACCCGCGAACACACTATGAACTTAAACATCTTGCACTTCTCTCAGTCATTTCGAGAAGGGGCTCAGCTGTATTGCTAGGAATTGCATCCAATCACATGCAGCAACTGACAATTGCCTTGAGCTTTGTCTTTATTATTTCTCATTTGTCAGCATCATTCTCGTTAATTCCCATTCTCCCTCCTCCGCTTTTCTCTTTCATCTCATCATCTCCCAGCTCGTAACAACCTCTACATAAGCAGCGTGCTCCACTTCCTCCCCAATGTCTTTCGCCACTCCACAAAATCAAAATCAACATCTCAACAACTCCATCTTTCGCCGCGTTTTCCAAAGAACAACCATTTCGAGAAGGACGCGTCCTTCGAGAAGGAGACGATGCTTCTTAAAGTAAGGTCGAGAGCACGCACGAGGGATCCCTTCTTTCGCCACCCCAATGTCCGTTGTCCGGGCTCCGGTGCATCAACCTGAAGTGCGCCACCTGCGACGGGAACAGGACCGCGGCCTTCCGACGGTGGTGACGATCCCTCTGAGACGTCAATAGCCGAAGAGCTATCGTGTTTCCTCACGGTTTCCTGCTCTTTGACGCAGTTCTCGCGTCCGAATTTTCCACGCCTTTCGTCTTCATCGCGGTTGATTAAGGCGGTTCTGACCTCCACTGCACAGACACCCTGAAGGTCACCATGCATTGAAGAATCATCGAACGCGGGGCCGAGGGACTCTCCCATACTGTCGCTAGACAGTTGTTGGTTGCCACCGACGCCGGATCTTTCCTGCTCAACGACACGTACTGCGACATGCTGATCGGAACCAAAGTCTCCGTCATCGACATACATGGCAGTTCCCTGCTTCCTGGTCGTTAGAATGCGGTTGAGGAAGGGGGGGCCCTCCCAGCTGACAATCGTGGCACCATTGGCGAGGATGTATTTGTACTGTATCTCAGTATGTGCTGGGAGCGCAATGGTCCCTTCGAAGGCGCCATCAACGTACGAAAGCGGGAGCGGGGTGAGCGCCCCCCACTCGGAAAGCTCGACAACGTTCCCGACGAGGCAGAGGCCGGAGGTGCTGTCGTGGAGGGAGGCGCGAACGAGGAGGGTGAGGGATGTCGACATCAGAGAGGAGGGATGCCAATAAAAACGAATCGAAAGATGAAGAGTGAAGAAGGTCAGAAGTAGGGTAAAGGACGAAGCGGTTTTAACAATTCAGGTGTAGAGCCCCACCGAAAGAGGCTGTGGTTGGGATGAGTTGAGTTAGTTGATGTTGAGCTTAGTTCGTTTGGTGTTGCGGTGAGGCGAATGGCGCTGTGAAGCAAGTTAGTTGATTCCTGTGACTTGCATGTGATGTCTGTAAATGCGCATTTCGCAACTTTTTCGCCGCTTCCGCGTGTGTGCTTGGAATGCCGCGACACACACATAGACGTCGTTGCAGCTTGGTGTCATGGTGAGGGAGACAGCAGCAAAGGTGATTTCAATTCCTGCGCGACATTCAAGACACGTGTCGGTGGAAGAAACAGTGAGATGAGGTTTTTTTTTTTTTTTTTTTTGCGATTCTGAAACCATCGTTCAAGCATCCATCGTAGATATTTTGCAGGGTTTTTGCAGGAGACCAGAGGCGTTTTTCCAGACTGCGTGTGTGAGGCACTACGGACGCGGTAGTGCTACCGCTAACAAAGTGTGAACGGAGTTTCCGGCCGCTGCTGACTTGCGCTTTGCAACTCTAAGACAAATATCAAGTTGTTGCACTTGTCAACAGACGGGTTGCCCGGATGTGGATCGCTTCCAGAGATACTGTACTTCTGCAAGTGTTTCGCTACCGAACTCAACGGTTATTTGGCTTTCGTGCATTCAGTATAATCGCCGTTAGTTGCAGTTCCATTGAGTTTGCGTACTCCCTATATAGAAATGGGTATTATGTAACATGGATGCACATGCAGTTGTCTCACCGGTGCGTCAAAATCCTCGGCATAGATGGAGGATCTGAAAAATGAAAATGAACTCGAATCTGATTGCACATCGAAACTAGAAAGTTGATCTAACATGTTACGCACGTGCTGGAGTCATACTTTCTCAG